CAAGCCCTGTTGGAGCTGGGCCAGCAGGCCAGGGGAGCTCCCTGGCCTTGGCTGGTGCCTGGCCCCCAGCCAAGGCCAGGGGAGCTCCCTGGCCTTGGCTGGTGCCTGGCCCCCAGCCCTGCCAGCGGCCTGCCTGCCAAGCCCTGGCTCGCCAAGGCCTGCCAGCCCCCTCAAAAGGCCGCCCTTGGCAGCTGCCTGTCTTGGAGCTCGGCCTGGGTGGGATTGGCACTGAGCAGCTCAGCCTGGCATGTCCCTGCCCTCTCGTGTGACACCTGAGTGGCAAGCTGGGTGCCAGCCTCCCTGGCATGCTGCGTGCGGGCCGAGTGCCCGCAGCTGGAGCAGAGAGCGGGTCCCGTCGCGGCCTGGCAGACGCTGCCTGAGATGCCGGGGGGGGAGGGGGCTGCCCCATGTGGTTGTTTCCAAGGGGTGCCTCTGATTCGGCTGCGGGCGTCCGTGGGGGGACACGGGGGGCAGCGCGGTGCCCCGCTGCAGGAGGTCATGGCCCGGCCCTCGCCCCCAGCCTGCCCTGTGCCCGGCCGGCTCCAGGCGGCTCCCGGTCGTGGCGCAGGTGCCGGGAGGCGGCAGGAGCGTGTGGCTCCGTGCTCCAGAGGGAGGCGCTGCGGGGCGGGAGGCTCTGGGAAGGAGGCGTCGGGGCGGGGGCTGGGCGGTGCCAGGCCGCAGCACCCTGAGCGGGCTGGACTAGGAGGGCAGGCGGGCGGGGCATGGCCCTGCGGAGACGTGGAGTGGGGGGGAGGGGGCTCCGTGGTACCCGCTTGTTGGGAAGAGGGGAGGTCCGCATGTGCCCACCCGATGGCTTGGCCTTGGCGGGTGGATCCCCTGGCCAGACAGAGTGGAGCAGGGCACTGGGGGTGGGCAGAGGCGCTGGCTGTGGGGGAGCTCCCAGCAGGGCACGGTGGGGGCGCTGGCTGTGGGTGAGGGGATCCCCTGCCCGCGGCGGGCGCTGGGACCCCTCTGGACAGTGTCTGTGCCCGGCGGGTCCCAGCTGGGAGGAGGCAAGGTGTGGGGCACGGTCCTGGCACCAGGCTCCTGAACCTGGAGACAAAGACCCCCGGGGTGTCTGGGGTGGCAGGAGGCCTGTGGCTGGCGCTGGCTGCTCTGTGTTCTCCCTGGGGGCTGGGCATGAGGGGGCAGCCAACCCCCCCCCCCGGTAAGGATGGTGCCATCAGCTGCAATTAGGGCTTTGATTACCTGCTGGCGGGGCACGGGCCACATGCTGGTAAAGTGGGACCCGTCGTGCCTTGCGGCGGAGTGCCAGGCGGGCGCTGCCGGATTTATGGGGCTCCAGCTGGCAACTTCATTCACCCGCTGGGAAACCCGCTGCGACTCGAAAGGGTGCCTGGGGAGTATGGGGGGAGGGGTGGCGTGGCCCGGGCGGGAGGGTTGGCACGGCCCCGCCATGTCTGTGGAGAGGTGGCTGCGTGTCCCTCCCAGTGGCCCCATTGCCCTCGGGCTCCCAGCTCTGCATCCCGCCCCCAGCCGGTCTGGAGCTCAGGGAGCCCCTCCTGGGCTTGTCCCTGTGGCTGGGGAGTGAGGCCGGGGGGGGCAGACGGGAGATAGAGCTCAGGGGCTGGAGTCCCAGGCCATGCCCCAGGACAGAGGTGCTGCTCCCCCCAGCTGCCCCCCCACTCCCATTTTGCGCGGCGTCTGGCTGAGTGGTGCCCAGCCCGTGCCCAGGCCTGGGGCAGGCATGTTGCAGCCAGGCCCCTCATGCTGGGCCCGCGATGGCGTCTGCAGGCTCCCTGCCCGGCACAGCGGTTGGTGGGGCCGGGTGTCGGCTGGGTCACTGGGCCCCGCGGAGCTGAGCTGACTGACCCGGCCAGTCTGGCAGAAAGCGAGAAAAGCCACGTCTCCGAGAGCCGCCCCAGCGCAGGGCCCTGCAGGGCCCCGGGGGACAGGGCACCGGCTCTCGTCTCCGCCGACAGCTGCTGCCGAGCAGGGACCGTGGGAGGTTCCAGGCCCAGGCCCTGCCCGCGTCAGCGCCGCGGAGAGACGGCGCCTGTTCCCTCCGGTGTCCGCGCTCGCACGCGGTGTGTAACTCACGTGCACACGCCACCCGGCACCCACGCTGTGTAACACGCACGTGCCCTGCGTAGGGCGTCTAATGTGCACGTACACACCATCTGTGCAAGCCTGCGTCCATGCTGTGTAATGCACACGCGCTGTATGTGCAACCCGGCACACACACAGGCTGTCTAACACTTGTGCCATCTGTGCAACCCGGCACCCACGCTGTGTAACACGCACGCTGCACTAGCATGCACATACACACTGTCTGTAAAAGCCTACACACACATGCCTGGCCACACACCCGGACACACATGCCTGGACACACACACGGACTGTCTGTATAAGCATAGACGCACCCGGACACACATGCCTGGACACACACACGGACACACATATGGACTGTCTGTATAAGCATAGACACACCCGGACACACATGCCTGGACACACACACGGACTGTCTGTATAAGCATAGACACACCCGGACACACATGCCTGGACACACACACGGACTGTCTGTATAAGCATAGACACACCCGGACACACACCTACAAGCCTGTGTGCAGACGGACCTGCACCCAGACACACACACGCACTGTCTGTACAAGCGTGTATGCACAAGGACACACAGACACACACTCTGTGTAAGGCACACACCCACCCACCCCCTGCTTTGCATGGTGCAGCCCTGCCCCGGAGAGCTGGTCGCCCCATCTAGGCTCCCCCACGGGGCCCGCTGTGCTCCTGGCGCTGACCCCTGGTCTGCCCCCACCCCCTTGCTCCTGCTCCCCGGGCTAGTTTATTTTCTACTGGAAGTGGCCTCGTGAGCCAGGGTGGGGGCTGCCCCCCCCACATAGCCCATCCCCTGTCTGTCTGTCTGTCTGACAACTTGTGCATCTGTCTGCTCTACCCACGTCCTTCCCTGACCCTTCTGCCCACCCCCGTCTCTTTGCTCTCCCTCCCGAGAGCCCAACTGAGCTGCGGGGGACTGGCCCATCCCACACACAGTGACGCCCTTGGCCACGGGTAGGGATGCTGGGGGACCCTGGGGAAGGCTGGGCTGGGGTGCTGCACTCCCTGCCCTGCCTGCAGCCCCCAGGGTTCTCTCTGAGAGGGGGAGCCCTGGGCCCACCGCCTCCCCTGCCCCCAGGGTTCTCTCTGAGAGGGGGAGCCCTGGGCCCACCGCCTCCCCTTAGTGATCCAACGTTATCTACTGGGGTGGGGCAGCCCTTCTTCCCCCCCCCAGGCCTGGATCCCCAGTGTGGTGCTGCGGTGCCAAGGAGCAGCTCCCACCGGTCCCACACTGCGCCTCACCCAGGGCCCGTTCCCCCAGCCCCTCCTGCCCGCTGCCCCGCCGGTGTCTGCCTGTCCCCGGGAGGTTGTTGCAGGGAGCGTGTGTGCGTGAGGACCTCGTCCCGCCGGAGCTCCCAGTGCCTGGCGGCTTGTGTCACAGAGTCCGTGGGCGATGCTCTGGAACTGCTCCCCATGAAGCCAGGCAGGACTCTGGGGCAGTCGCCTTTCTGGGAGCAGCCTGTCTGCAGGACACACAGCTCACCCGGCTTCCACCTTCCTGGGTCTGACCTCGGAGCATTCAGCATCCTCTGCCCCTCCGTGCGCTTCCCACAGCGAGTCCGCTCAGGCGGGGCTCCTGGGGAAGCCAGAGGGTCCTGCACCCCAACTTCGCAGTCAGACGTGACTCTCAGCCAGCCAGTAAAACAGAAGGTTTATTAGACAACAGGAACATGGTCTAAAACAGAGCTTGCAGGTGCAGAGAACGGGACCCCTCAGCTGGGTCCATTTTGGGGGGCAGTGAGCCAGACAACCACGTCTGCACTTCATGTCCCAGCCAGCCCCAAACTCAAAACCCCCTCCAGCCCCTCCTCCTCTGGGCTTTGTTCCTTTCCCGGGCCAGGTGGTCACCTGATTCCTTTGTTCTCCAACCCTTCAGCTCTCACCTTGCAGGGGGGGAAGGGCCCAGGCCATCAGTTGCCAGGAAACAGGGTGTCGGCCATTCTCTGTGTCCAGACCCCTGCACACACCTGCCCTCTAGGGCTCTGCAATGATCATACACCCTTACTCCACCCCCTAGATACTTAAGAACTGCCTAGGGGAAACTGAGGCACCCCCACACTATTCAGAGGAAACATTAAGAACAGTCCCACTTCGTCACAGCTTGTTCCTCCCCGGGCTTCGGAGATGAGCTGCAGAGCCGGGGAGCCCCGTCCCTGGTGCTCAGCCAGCGCGCCTAGGCCGGAGCCTGGGGCAGCCCCACTTGTCCCTGGAGCCCTGGCGGGTGGGAGCTTGGGGGGCCACGTGGTGCCAGCAGCCAGACTGCAGAGGATACACACTCGCCGCCTGGCACGGCTGCCTCCAACGAGCCCCCGCTTGGCTCTGGCCATGTGCCCACCTCCAGCTGGCTGGACAGGGGCAGGTCTGGCAGCTCCCAGGGCTCCTTCCCCCCAGCCTCAGCACCATGGACAGTGCCCGGCCCTTGCTGCCATCCTGGGCTGAGTCCTCCCACCCAGAGCTCAGCCCTGGCCCCGGGCACCAGCCCCCAGGGGCCAGGCGGAAGCCAGGCGGGGGGGGGGCAGGTGGGAGCAGTGCCCTGGGCAGTTCTGGCACCAGGAGCTTTGTGGGCTCCTGGAAGTGACCTGCCCCCGAGGCATCCCCTTGGCGCTGTGCGTAGCTGCCCCCTGTCACGGAGTCCCTGGGCGATGCTCTGGAACTGCTCCCCATGAAGCCAGTCAGGACTCTGGGGCAGTCGCCTTTCTGTGAGCAGCCTGTCTTCAGGACACACAGCTCACTCAGCTTCCACCTTCCTGGGTCTGACCTCAGAGCATTCAGCATCCTCTGCCCCTCCGTGCGCTTCCCACCGCGAGTCCGCTCAGGCGGGGCTCCTGGGGAAGCCAGAGGGTCCTGCACCCCAACCGCAGTCAGATGTGACTCTCAGCCAGCCAGTAAAACAGAGGTTTATTAGACGACAGGAACATGGTCTAAAACAGAGCTTGCAGGTGCAGAGAACGGGACCCCTCAGCTGGGTCCATTTTGGGGGGCAGTGAGCCAGACAACCACGTCTGCACTTCACTCCATGTCCCAGCCAGCCCCAAACTGAAACTCCCTCCAGCCCCTCCTCCTCTGGGCTTTGTTCCTTTCCCGGGCCAGGAGGGCACCTGATTCCTTTGTTCTCCAACCCTTCAGCTTTCACCTTGCAGGGGGGGAAGGGCCCAGGCCATCAGTTGCCAGGAAACAGGGTGTCGGCCATTCTCTGTGTCCAGACCCCTGCACACACCTGCCCTCTAGGGCTCTGCAATGATCATACACCCTTACCCCACCACCTAGATACTTAAGAACTGCATAGGGGAAACTGAGGCACCCCCACAATATTCGGAGGAAACATTAAGAACAGGCCCACTTCGTCACATCTCTCCCCCCTTCGAGATCGAACTGAGCGGGGTCACTTTTCCCGGTGACCTGGGGAAGTTCGAAGCCACCAATGTTCCCATGGATGCCCCAGCATCTCTCCCATTCCTTGGTAGGAGTTACACCAGGCCCTTCCAGTTTCACGCCCTCCCTTAGGTCGGGGGTGGTCGATAGCACTAGCAGGCTGCATGTGGGAAGGTTTCTGCAGCCCATGCCCTTTGGCCACCCCAAAACCCCAGGGGGTCAAACTGGGATTGGGTTTTCTCCCAGAGCTCCAGTCTGGAGGGCTGCAATTCGGGCTCTCTTGGTCAAGGGCCCCCATCTTGACCTGGGCCACATACTGTTCACTTACAGAACTAGCATGGAGACATCCCTTTCTCAACAACCTTGTCTCCCCAACAAGCTGGCCAAACACAGCCACTTGGTTATAGGACGGTATACCTTTCTTAACAGCTTTCACTCCATCTGAGACCTTCTCAAAGCTATCCACACTGGATCTTTCAACAGGAAAGTCAGTGGATCCATTCACAACAGAAAATTTCTGGCTGTTAGGAACTGAAACTTTCTTGATTAAATAATTTTCACACCCTTCAGTTGCAGTAAACTGCTTGCAAAAACTCCATGAGGATTCCTTTCCCTAGGGGCTTTTCTATGCAACAATTCACCCCTCACAGAAATTCTGCTCTTACCCTCTTTACCTAGGGCTTGCTCTAGGGGAACACTTTCCTGAGCAACAACAGACTCTTTCTGGTCTCCCTTACATCCAGAATCACCTCTGGCCCATCAGGCGGATTCCTACACAATCCCCTTTCAGGCAAACTTACAGACTTCCTAGATAAAAGGTTAGAAGCATTCTCCTTCCCTTTGCCACACACAAGTTCAGGAATCTTTTCCTCCTTGCTACAGGTTTCCACACCCTCAGTAGGTAACACAATCACACACCTTCATGCTCTCCTTGTGCCTTGGCTAGGATCTCACCCTGATTAGACAGAGTTGCTCCACCCTTTCCAACAACACACTAGCAACAGGCAAAATACAAGCACCAGAATTGTCTGGTCTCGGGGATTTTACATAGACCCTAACTGGATGCGACCTAGTTACAGGGCCATTCTCCCGAGCAGACACAAACTTAGGACCCTTCCCTTCCTGGGCTTTAGCTGAATCCAGAACCAGCTCTGAGACAACTGCACGACCCTCAACCATCACAGGCTGAAAGGCCCCTTCTGTCTGCTCCACAGACCAAGAAGAGCCGGACACACTTTCTCCTTTACCAGACAAACAGGTTGGGATCTCATTCCCTTTGTCCCAGCACACAAGGCTGGTCACAGACAACTGCTTGGAGATCAGGGTAGCTCCCTCCATAGGCAAGTCAATACCCCTGACAGACAGAGACCCATTTCCTTCACTGTCCCAATTCTCCACCCAGCTAACAGGTAAGGTCCAGGGACTCTCATCTTCCACTCTCCTCGCCTTCCCACCCTGCTGACTGGACACAGCCATCAGCTCACAAGGCTGCCTAGGCTCATCCAAACTTTCCTTACCAAGCACCTTGCCACTCCCCACAGATCCCCTGCCCTGCCTGTGTCTCCCCCACTCAGCTGGGGTCTCAGCTCCCACCGTGCTCAGCCCTGCCCTTGCTGTCCCAGTGGGGGCAGGCCACTGCTTTCCTCACTGCATCAGAGCCAGCGAGAGTCCCCAGTCTGGTGTGCAAGGGGGCAGGGAGCATCTCTCTGTCCCACCGAGTCCCAGGGGTCTGGTTACAGGCAGGCAGGTAGCCTGAGCCTAGCGGCTCCTCCCTGCTGCCAGCCAGGTCATCTGCATTTTCACTGACCATTTCCCCCTCCACGGATTGATTCCCTGGATTCAAATTCAAACCCTTGGCAGTTACAGGAGCAGGGCCTGGATCCTGTCCCAAAGAGACACAGTCACCCCACAACAGGGTCTCGCAGCTGGTGTCCTGGGGCACCCCAACGACCAGCCAGCCCCACTCCTCCTGGGTCTGCACAGGGATCTGGGCCATAGGCAGGGCGAGGGGCTTCGTCCCTGGGACCCTCACCCAGCTCACACAGGCCCTCAGCATCTGAGGCTGCACCCCCCAGGGCCTGACACCAGTTCTCTCTGTCCCAGGATCTCGCCACCCCAGGAATGTCTCCCCATTGACCGTCACCTTCCGCTCCCACTGGGGGTCCAAGGGGCCTGGCCCCAGGAAACTCCACACAGATATATAGGTTGGGGTCAGGAGTGGGAGCGTGTCCACCTCCTCACTCATCTGGCTGACGGAGTCTATGGCCTTGGGACCCAGCAAGGGAGCTAGACACCGGGGCTTTTCCGCAGGGTCCCCCTGGTTCAAATCTCCAGCCTGCTCAAAGGCAGTGAGGTGGGCATCCACATCCCACCCGCCCCCCCTTAACTAGGGGCAGCAATTTAGTCTCGAGGTTCCCTGCGGAACTGGCCCCCCGGGGTCTATCCCCACTCACCCTGGGGAGGTCCCCTAGGCCTCTCCGCCCCACCACCGCCAGTTCATGCTGCTGCTGCTTCTGCAGCTCTTTCTCGGGCTCTCGCTGTCTCTCACAGTCCTCTTGCTCTCTCAGACTCAGCTCCAATCCCGTCCGTCTCGATCCCCCGATGGGGAACCCGATCATGAAGACCCCTGTCTGGTCGGGGACAGGAGTCTTGGCGATGCCTGGCTCCCACTCCAGCTGCTCCCAGATCCTGCTATAGCCCCAGTTGGGGTCAGGAATCTGTTCCTTAGAGCGGTCATCCTCCCCTAGCTGCACGATTAACTCTGCTTTGGTGAACTTTCCAACACTCAACCCTCTCTTTTTGCACAGGGTTACAATGTCCTTCTTAAGGAGACAGTGACAGGCCGTCACTCCGCTCCTCCCAAGTTGTTGTGGACTCACAGGCCCGTGTGTTCTCAGCTCCCCACGGTTTCCAGGGAGAACCCCTAGTGTGCCAGCCCTTCTCGAGGTCACCACCTCTTTGCCAGGGTCGAGCTGCAGACTCCTCCGCCCCTGGGACTGCTCGCTGCAATCCCCAGGGGAACCCTGCTACTGCACAGTCCTTCTCGCTGGTCACACACTCCCAGGGGTTAACCGCCCCCGAAACCGCTCCTCTCTGAGCCTTCAGCAGGCCTGGTCCTCAGCAATCCCCCTTCGTGTTACTGCTCCCCAGTCACTTACTGCAGGAAGCACCATCCACGGGGTGCAGTACATCCCACCGCTGCCACCAGTTGTCACGGAGTCCCTGGGCGATGCTCTGGAACTGCTCCCCATGAAGCCAGTCAGGACTCTGGGGCAGTCGCCTTTCTGTGAGCAGCCTGTCTTCAGGACACACAGCTCACTCAGCTTCCACCTTCCTGGGTCTGACCTCAGAGCATTCAGCATCCTCTGCCCCTCCGTGCGCTTCCCACCGCGAGTCCGCTCAGGCGGGGCTCCTGGGGAAGCCAGAGGGTCCTGCACCCCAACTTCGCAGTCAGATGTGACTCTCAGCCAGCCAGTAAAACAGAGGTTTATTAGACGACAGGAACATGGTCTAAAACAGAGCTTGCAGGTGCAGAGAACGGGACCCCTCAGCTGGGTCCATTTTGGGGGCAGTGAGCCAGACAACCACGTCTGCACTTCACTCCATGTCCCAGCCAGCCCCAAACTGAAACTCCCTCCAGCCCCTCCTCCTCTGGGCTTTGTTCCTTTCCCGGGCCAGGAGGGCACCTGATTCCTTTGTTCTCCAACCCTTCAGCTTTCACCTTGCAGGGGGGGGGAAGGGCCCAGGCCATCAGTTGCCAGGAAACAGGGTGTCGGCCATTCTCTGTGTCCAGACCCCTGCACACACCTGCCCTCTAGGGCTCTGCAATGATCATACACCCTTACCCCACCACCTAGATACTTAAGAACTGCATAGGGGAAACTGAGGCACCCCCACAATATTCGGAGGAAACATTAAGAACAGGCCCACTTCGTCACACCCCCCCCTTGGGGATGGGGGGCAGGGGGGCGCACCGGTCATGGCTCCCATGTCAGCCAGCAGGGGGCCTCCTCCCCCGTCCGTGCTGCCTGCCCCGCTGCCCCACGGAGCAGCCTGGCCATGCGTAACGCTGACCCCCTGCAGCACCAGCCTTTCACCCGCCCCCTTTGCTGCCAGCCCGTCTCCCGCGGGCCCCATTCCCAGGGCCAGGAGGGTCAGTGTGGGGCCAGCCCCACACAGGGAAATGCTGGAGCCGAGCTCTGGGGCCTGTCTGTGCGGAGGGCCGTGGGGCGCCGGCAGCGATGCTGGCCCTGGCCGAGGCCTGCGGGGGAGGCCGTGGGGGTTGCAGGCAGCGCTGGGCCAGCTCCATGGCAGCTGCTCACCAGGGAGGCGGCCAAGGCCGGCTGAGGACACGCAGCCACGTGCTCCGGCGCTAGCCGCTAGGCAGCCTGGCTGGGAGCACGAGGGACTGACCGATGGGCAGGCGGGGGCCAGCCGGCCCCTGCCACATGCTGCGGGCAGAGGGGCAGGGGCAGGCTGGGCTGGGATCCCCCAGCGTGTGAGCCAGGAGGTGACGCAGGCTGGAGCGAGCTGTAGACACCAGAGCCCGGCACTGGAGAGGGGGTGGCTGGAGCCAGAGCAGGCTGGGGCACGAGCTGGCCCTGTCCTACCGGCCTCAGGCCCTGCTGGGGGCTGAATCTCTCCCCCACGGGGCTGCAGCCCCAGGCCCCTGCCCCACAGTGGGGCCTCTGCCCGGCCCCCACTGCAGGCACAAAGGAGGGTGGAGCAGCAGCTGGCGGGACCAGGCAGGGGAGGGGGCAGCAGCCATGGGCAGGGGGAGCAGGGTCTGGGGTCCCATCCCCCTCCTGCCCTCAGGCTGCCTGGCCCCTGGGAGAGGGAAGTGGGGCTGGGCTGGGCTGGGCCAGGGTGCAGGGTCCTGGGCCCAGCTCCT